CCTTTGTTTCTTTACTTTAATTAGCCCATCATTCTAGTGTGTTGATTTTTAAATCTATCTTTGACTTAATTTTTCATAACATCATTAAGATTTTTTTACTCTCCAAGGCATTCTGCACATCTTTCTCATGTTGACAACGACACAACTTTATTCCAATGTTGTCAAGTTATCGACTCATAATGATGTTGTCAACTTATTGTAGCCTTTGATGTATCTTATGAGTAAGTCATATGCATGTTTTCATAACATAAATTTATGTTAGTTACAAAATTTTATCCATATTAGAGTAATCTTATGAGGGTAATACTGGACCTTTTTCTTTTATTTTGTGTGGAGTTTATAACATGAATTTTGTAAGTCTTATTTTCAAACTTTATGATAGGTTCAAACAAAATAAAAAAGTTTAATTTCAATTTTTTTCCTTAGAAAGATATAACCTAAAGACACTACTACTCATGAAGGGTAATTTAAATAGTTATTGCTTTCAATTCATATACATAATTATATTTTCTAATGTATCATCTTTAATGAAGAATAAAAAGAAATTATACATAATGACTTAAAAGCAAAGTTTTCAAAAAAAAAATTCTATAAATTAATTTTAATGAATTCGTGTAAGCTAGCATTATAGTTTTTGTGTATATTAATCTTGGTGGTTTGATATAAAAGAACTCATTATGTTATTATCATTTTTAAGTTTTTATATTTCATTTCTAACATTAAATATTTACAAATGCTCTTAACTCTCCAAATTATAACTTACCAATAAAAGAGCTTGAAAAATGTTTGTTTAGAATAAATTTTGTTTATACCTTATAACAAATTTTAGTAGTTTCTTTAAAACAGTTATTTGCTAAGAACAAGTCTTTAAATATTTTGAATCAGCAAAGGGATTTACTATAAACTGTGTTCAAAATATTGTTTTGTCGGTGATTGTCTTATGAAAAACAAGTAATAACACTTAGCGTAGCATAAAGCAGTAAAGAGGGATAAAGAAGAAAAGGAACACAACAAATTGTTTGTGTTAATTTCATATTTAATTAGAAGCATGAGTGATTGGAATGAAAATACTTTGTTGGCTAGAGGTTTAATGCATAAGAGAGGTGTTGCTCACATTATGAACTTGATTCTAAAGGATGGATTAAAAGAAATTGACCCTTCTATTAATAAAATAAGAGTTGCATGTAAGTTTGTTAGATCTTTTCCATCTAGGTTGGCTAATTTAAAAAGGTATGCACATGAGGCAAATATAACTGGTGAAGCTTCTGTTTGTCTTAGCGTATCAACTATGTTGAATTCTACATTTTTAATGCTAGACGTTGCTAAGAAAAACTTGAAAAGGCATTTAAACGACTTGAATATGATGATGATCTATACTTTATAGCTCTTGCCAATGATGGGTGTGTCCTAGTCGTGTTTTAAAAATCGGATCGAACTGACCGATCGAACTGATTGGATCGGGAACTGGTGGTCCAGTCGGTCCGAATCTTAAGTTAGATCGGTTATGCAATCGACCCGTTTCAAACTGGATTGAACTGTTCAATTTTCCGGTTCAACAGGTGGGTCAAACCGGTTCAACCACACTTTTATTTTTATTTATTTTTATTTTTTTAAGGAACCATAAACCACAAAAATAATAATAAAAATTGAATCTCTTAATGGAAGAGCAAAGAGTCTTATTAAATATAAAAATGACTACTTGTTCTAATATATTTGTTTGTAATATATACAACTTAAATAACTTTTATAGTATATTATTAATTTTAAATTATATATTTAATAATATATTATCTATGTAGATATTACATATACTATTTTGTGATATCAATTGCAAGCATATTATATATGTACATATTATTTATATTTTTAATTTGTATTAATTTAAAGTTTAACATGTAATTTTTTTATGTATTTTTTTACAAAATAAAAATAAATATAATTTTGAATAAAATAGAAAATTTAAAATTTAAAATAAGATATGAATTTATTAAAATTTATAAGTATAAAATATATTTAACATGAATATCTTTTTTAAAAGAAATAATAAAAATCGAGTCATGCAGTTTAACTAGTAATCTACCGGTTCAACCTTTAACCCACTGACACAATACCTTAACTGGTTTGATGACCGGTCCAATTTTTAAAATTATGATCCTAGTACTCTATGATGATTGGATGTGTGCATGTATGTTATTCTCCAAAGTTTGATACAAGTGATGACAGAACAATCAATGATATAGTTGAAGTTAGACGCAACACACTTAGTACATCTCAATCTTATGAATTTATTTTTAATTTATGAAAATTTATGTTTTAGACTAAACTTTAAACAACTTCCAACATTTACTTCACTTGATATCTTATTGTAGGTTGACAATCAAGATTCAATTCCTTAATGGTGAGAAGAATGCATGAAGAGTGAAGATTTTGTGTTGGATATATACTTTTGGTGGAAATTTTGGTTTATGATCCTCTGAACTTGGTTTTATGGTTTACGACTTTATGTTAGAAAAGTATTATTTTGTTTTGTTTAGTTAATGTTGGACAATTTGGTTTGAATATGTTACTAAATAATTAATGCTGGATAATTTGTGAATTTTCGACTATCTATTAATTTAGTTAATATTAGATAAGATGTAAATTATTCTTTTATCTTAACTTATTTTATGCATTTTTTCTACCAATATGATATATTTCTTGGGTAAGTATCATATATTTACATAATTTGATTAATATCATTTTTTTCTACCAATGTTGTATAATAATTAGATTAATAAATTAATGAAAAAAGTTATCTATAGATTTATTAATAGATTTATTTGTCGATAATGCTAATAAAAATTTCAGGTGATACTAACGAATATTTTTGTTAATACTCTAAGTAATATTTAATGATAGATTTTTTTTTCTAGGCAAAATGAAATATATTAAAAGCGAATACAATGGGTACTCCAACTCATATACAGTTAACTTAATAAAGATTAAGACATGCAGCAAGTTCTCTTGACCAACAAGAGAACTGATAGTAAAAATCAAGATCTTTAGCTTTCAGCCACTTCCAAGAGCGTAGTTTTATCAATTCGACCAGATCATTTGGAGATGTGAATTTATTAGTAAATATAACTTCATTTCTCGCCAACCAAATACTCCAAATTGAAGCCAACCAGATCACCGCCCATTTGTACTGATTTTTAGCACCACAACTCGAAAGGCCTAAGAACAGCTCAAAATGAGATATGAAATTATTTTGATGAGCAACAAAGAGGCCACACCATTCCAAACACAACATCCAAACCTGGTATGCAAAAGAACACTTAAAAAATATATGGCAGGAGGTATCAAGACCTTGATTACACCACACACAACCAGAATTAGTTAATGTTGGACAATTTGGTTTGAATTGTAACTATGTTACTAAATAATTAATGCCGGATAATTTGTGAATTTTTGACTATCTATCAATTTAGTTAATATTAGATAAGATGTAAATTATTTTTTTATCTTAACTTATTTTATGCATTTTTTTCTACCAATATGATATATTTCTTGGGTAGGAATCATATATTTACATAATTTGTGTTAACTATATTGAGAGTTGTCTTCATGCATTATATTGTATTTGAAATTCTTAAGAAGAGAAATTAAGAGAAACTATATTACAAATTAATCAATTTAGTTTATGTACCAGTAGGCACCCCTTCGGTCAGACAATAGGCCGAAAGGGGTGCCCGAACCGACAAAGACACACCAGTTAGCACCTTTTCGGTCAGACAATAGGCCGAAAGGGGCCCGAGCCGACAAAGACACCGCCCCTTCGGATCCCGGCCAAAGGGGAACCCCAGGACTCCCTTACCACTAGAAGTGAACACCCAACAAAACCTCTCGGTGTTAAGCTGAGCCGAACACCTTCTCGGCATTGACATAGGCCGAACACCTCCTCGGTCTTCGGATCAGTCGAACACCCCAATCAAAGACAAGCCAAATATCCCTTCCTTGGCCTTGATCTTGGCCGAACACCTTCTCGGCATTGACATAGGCCGAACACCCCCTCGGTCTTCAGATCAGCCGAAGACCCCAATCAAGGACGAGCCAAATATCCCCTCCTCGGCCTTGACCCGAGCCGAACACCTCCTCGGCCTTGACCTAGGCCGAACACCTCCTCGGCCTTAAGGTAGGCTGAACACCCTTTCGGCCTTGTGCCTAGCCGAGGACTTCAACAAAGGACAGAACAAAGAACACGTGGCAAGTTAGATGCTTATTATGCATTAATTATTATGACAGAATAAGAAGAGATTAAGACTAACTCAAGTGTTACCCATCTCCCAAGACTAAAGGTCCATCAGGCCCAATTGTGTCACTATAAATACACAGGTGATGTGACATAAATGAGGTACGTTGTTATCCAATATAAAAGCACTTATTGCTCTATACCGAATACTCACTTGATCGTTGGAGTGCCTTTGCAGGTACCCTCCCCACCTCCTGGAGATAGTATTCGGTCGACACCAAAGACTTAGAAGACCAAGAAGGAAGAACGGAAAGAGAAGTGTTTCTACGCAGGAACATTTTGGCGCCCACCGTGGGGCCGAAACCAAAACGGTTCTCGACCCTGAAGCAAGATGGTTACCACAAGGAGTCAGCAGGAGAACGCAACCGATTACCCCTACGGGATGCCCCGAGACACCATCAGGCGACAAACTAACCAGAACGAGGAAGGAATGGAAGAATCATATGTGGACCGATCTCAACAACCCAACCCGTCGTCGGCCATCGAGCAGCTGAAGGCTGAAATGATGGAACTCAGGAAGCTCCGAGAGAAGGACGCCCACGAGTTATCGGTACTCAGAAGAGAGAATGTCGAGCTTAGAAGTGACAACAGGTCATGGCACCCTTCTCATGATACCCCCAACACCCAATCCACTCGGGACCACGGGGAGTCGTCGGGGTGGTAAGAGGAAGCAAGGACCCCTCGGCCGCCTGGTGGAGGGACGACAACAACCATGGATCAGCAAAGGAAGCAGGGGAGGACGCCATTCACCTCCAATATTGCTGGAGCCCGACTGCCCGACAATTGGAAGAATTTGGTCTTAGAAAGATACGATGGAACCGCCGATCCCGAAGAACACCTCGATGCTTTCGTTACTCAAGTCGGTTTGTACACCGACGACGACGCGATCATGTGTAAAGTCTTCCCCACATCCTTAAAAGGACCGGCTCTGAATTGGTTCACGAGACTCCCACCAGGATCAGTGGACTCTTTCACAACCTTGTCCTCCCGGTTCGTAATACAATTTGCCACAAGTCGACCCCATCAGCTCACTTCAATTGCATTGGTCAATATCCGCCAAGAAAAGAAAGAACCCCTGAGAACCTTCATGGAACGGTTTGGAAGAATGACCCTCTTAATCCGAGACCTAGACCCGGCGGTGGCCATGCACCACCTCATCACGACGCTGAGACCGGGCCCTTTTGTAAACAGCCTATGCAAAAAGCCACCCCGGGATTTGGACGATCTTCGGCAAAGAGCTACTAAGTATATGCAAATGGAAGAATTGGCGGAGTTCAGAAACCAGAATCGGGCCGACCTTCCCCCAGGAAAGAAAGAAGCTGAAAAGGATCATCTCCCAAGGCCTCGTCCCCGAGACATGCCTGATCGAGATAGAACCAACAGGGGCCCCCGGTATGCACAATACACGCCGCTTAACGCCAGTAGGACCAAGGTGTTAGAGCAGGCATTGGCCACAGAGATCCTCGCGGTGCCTCGTCGCACTATGACCCCACCCCACGCAGACAAAACCAAAACATGCCAGTTTCACAGAAACCGGGGGCATACCATGGAGGAATGCACGGCCCTCCGGGATCGAATTGAAGATCTCATCAAGTCCGGTCATCTACAAAACTTCACCCAGCCGTCAAGCAGGAAGAGGCACGACAACTCCCATGATAAGAGGGAGACCGGAAGAGGTAACCGTGAAAGGGGACTTCCAAGGCGAAGGTTCAGGGAACGAAGTAGGACCCCGGAGAAAAATGATAGGCAGCATGATCGGAACCAACCCAGGAGGGTCATAAACATAATTGCCAGAGGATTCGCAGGTGGCGGAAGCACATCTTCCGCACGAAAGAGACACCTAAGAGCAATCAGATCAGTTAACGCAGTGACGCAGGTAGGATCGATCCGTATGCCGCCAATTACCTTCACCGACAAGGACTTCAAGGGGATTGATCCGGTGCAAGACGCCCCCATGGTCATCAGTGTGGAGATCAACAATTGCATTGTAAAGAAAACGTTGGTGGATCAGGGAAGTTCAGCCGATATCTTATATTGGAAAACCTTCGAACAGCTAGGTATACCCGAACATGAGTTGACGCCTTATAACGAGCCCTTGGTTGGATTTTCAGGTGAAAGAGTGGATACCCGAGGGACGATAGACCTATACACCTACTTCAGAGACAACCAGCCGAGGCGAAGGATTAAAGTACGATACGTGGTGGTGAATGCTAACACCTTGTACAACATCTTGTTGGGCCGACCTTCCCTGAACAAGCTCTAGGCTATCGTCTCCACTCCCCACCTGGCTATGAAGTTCCCCTCGGAAGAAGGCACGGTTATCACACTGCATGCCGATCAAAAGACAGCCCGCGAATGTTACTTCACTAGCTTAAGAATGCAGCCGAGTCCGAAGCAGAGACGAGAAGTCAACGCCATAGCAGATGTCTGTATCAAAAGTCCGGCCATAGACTTGGAGCTGGACCCGCGGATTGAAGACGAGCACCGAGTCGAACCAATCGAGACGACGATCCCCTTTCAACTCGGAAGAAGCGAGGAACAGGTCACGTACCTAAGTTTTCAACTGATGGAAGACGAAGCAAGAGAAATTAGGCACATCCTCGTAAGATACTCGGATCTATTTGCATGGACCGCGGCCGATATGCCCGGTATCGACCCAAGTTTCCAATGCCATCGGCTCTCCGTGTGCCGAGATGTCAAGCCCGTCGCCCAGAAGAAAATAAAAGTGGGAGGAGAGAGGAGGTACGTAACCCTGGGGAGGGCAAACTCACGCTACCAAAGTGACTA